GCTTTAAATAAAATGTTTTGATTGGTTTTTACTGCTCATGTTTTTAGAAAATTGAAATAAGATGTTTAGTAAATTTTAATAAAATTGATAAAATGTGTTGTTTAAAAATTATGAATATCGTAAAATATGTGATTAAAATTAATTGTTGATCTCGATTTAAATTAAAATATGAATTCTAATTCCTACGAAACAAGAGCAATACGATAGTAGGACATAAATATCATAATACAACTAATTGATGTATAAATACTCTTAGGAAATTGATAATATTTTTAATATTATTTATCATAACTTATGTTTTTTTATTATTTTTTTTTTCAAGTGACACAACTTTTTCTTTGTCCCAACAAAATCCCAGTGTATGATATGTTAATGCATTTATTCGGAAGGTTCAAATTCTGATTAATGAATTACAAAGATTTATGAATAATATTACTTAGTTTCATTGAGATTATAATCCTAATCTATATGATCGTAGGTGATAAACTAAATGAAATGTGGAATTAAATGATATATTTAATTCCACTTATCAATTAATATCACATTATTGCCATAATATGAGGTTATAATCCCAATGGACTAAATATCATTACTCAATATTTATAGTGTAAGAGGATTAACAGAGAATTAAGTAACAAATTAAAAATTACATACAATTGTAATTTAAAATTTCAATAAATTACATACATAACATAATTAACACAATTCTGCCAATAAGAAAATTTTAAATTTCAAAAATTAAAAAAATACATGCCCTGAAAACGAAATGACGGTGTAGTCATTATAATTTATTAAATGTTGCAATTTGCCAAAAGTTGACCCAAGTTTGACAGCCATTATTTGAAAAAAAACAACATTTTGATTATTGATTTTTAAGAGAACAAGTCAAAGTTGAATATGCATTGTTCGTTATTTTGAAATACTTTACAAGTGCTGCGAAGGTAATATTTGATACCAATTTGTTTGGAAGATTTGATGAGTCTCAAAATAAAGAAAATAAAATTTAGAATAGAAATTTAAGAGAAAAAATTATAGACTCAAAACTCAACTTCTATTATTCAAATTTTTCGTGATAATAACAAATGAGCAATATTTTTATAATTCATTTGATACATAAAAATTAATCGTTAGTACATGAATTTAAACATCCATTTAAATTTCTGGACACATGAATAGAAATAAATTCATCTATAATAACTCTAGATTCATGTAGATCAAAATTCATCAAGTCAATTCATTAGATCTAAATTAATATGGATGTTAATTAATTGAGAATTAATAACACAAAATTCATACATTACAAGAATTTTGTAATATTTATTAGGACATCTCCAATAATTGCACTATTACACCATTTTTTGGTGCAAAGTTGCTACAATGCAATACCAAACTTCGCACCTTTTTGGTGTAAAATGGTGCAAAGTGAATAGTATTGCACCATATTTGATGCATCACTATTTATTACACCATTTTTTGTACCAAATGGTGCAATGTCCGTTTTGCCTTTATTTTTCATTTTTCAAAGATAATGGTTAAGGGTATTTATGTCATTTTCGTTCTATAATGATAATGATGATGATGATGATAAAATTACACAATTAATTATATTATTAAACTTTATTATTTTTAATAATATAATCAATAATAATTAACGTAAAGTTTAATTTGTAAAGTTTACGTTTAAAGTTTAATTTAACGTAAAGTTCATATTATTATTAAAGTTTATTATTTTTGTAAATTTAATATACTTGTTTATCATAAATTAATAATATAGTCAATTATTTTTATCAATTTAACATAATATATAAAACACATGAATAATTTAGTAATCAATATATTTGTTAATTTAACAAAGTTATGATTTAATAATTTATATAGTTATAAAATAAATATATAATTTTCTTTTAAATAAATGCATTGAGAAAAATCGAAATAATGAATAAAATAATAAAGCACTGTTCATTTGGTGTAATGATTGGAGAAGAATTTTGGTTCGATGCAAAATGGTGCAAATTTTGGTACAGTGCTGGAGATGGCCTTACATATTGAAAAATGAAAAAGTAAGATATTATTAAAATAATTGAATTGGAGTAGAGTTAAAAGCGTCCGAAAATAATTCTCACTTGATGTAATATTTAATATATTATATATGATTAAAAAGTATGAATTTTTTTATATGTTCGAAATATTTCATTGTGTGAATATGTCGTTGAAAATTAGTATGTAAGAATTTTTTTTTTTTCAAATAATGATTGTCAAACAGGGACTTATATATACATCAAACCGTTATATAAGGTGTAGTTGCCAATTTTTCTTAGCCCTTATTTCGACTCCATTAAGAAATGCACTTCGGAAAAAAAAACATTTTTGAATATAAATATTTTGAAGAATGTATGGATAAATAATAAGATTTTTTTTTAAAATTTATGTGTAATATTATTTTATTGAAAAATGTATGGATAAAAATAAGAAAGAGTACAAAAATATATTTTTGAAGAATGGAGGTCAAACATGGGCTAAACGTCAGGCAAAAGTTGTAACCTTGCAAAATTTAACGAAAATCAATGTAATTCATTTTATTTCATATTTATCCATGTGTGTAAATTGCCCATCTTATAACCATTATTAAATCAAATTCAATTTCTCATACTTCTTCAGCTCTTTAACACCATTAAGCCATTGTTTGATAACCATTTTTCTCAAAATACATTTTTCTTTTTCTCTTTTTTTCAATCATGTATTCTTCAATAAAATAATATTACACGCATAACTAAAACTTTTTCTTATTTTTTAACCACACATTCTTCATTAATTAATTATTTCAAAATGCATGCTTACTAAAAAATGGGAAACAAACAAGGACTAAAAAAATTTCCTTTTTACACGTAATATTTTTGCTTGGGGGAGTATAGCATATTGTTGTTTTTGGAGTATAAATCCCTCCTCTGAACAACCTGAATATAATATAATTTAAACGGTGTAACGAGATGATGAACATGATCATAATATTAATTCGAGTTCACCGACTTTACGATAAAGGCATTCAGCAATCGTCTCCAAGAATAGAAAGAATTTTGTCTCATACGAAAGCAGTATAACAATCTGCGAGAGTTTCAATGAACTCGATGAAGTGTTTTCACTTTTAGAATAATATGTGAGAGAGAGAGAGATTCAAAGCAGATAAAATTTGCAATGAAATGTGCAATTATTTTGGCAGCAAGGCAAGTTATTTATGGATACGTTCATGGTCATTTGAATATCCTTCGAACCTTTTTAGAACAGTCACTATTGTTCAGACGTCCCTCCAAACCTGAACTGACAACTCTGTTCAGATTGAAACACTACTTCTGTTACATCAATTAACATACGTCTATTAACAGTTGACCAAGACCAAAAAAAGCCAAAGAAAAGCCAAAAGGTCGGAACTAAAAAATACTATTTAAAATAATTTCATTAAGCACCAAGAATTTGTTTAGTTACAATTTGACTCAAAATTTAAATAAAATATCTAAACTAATCATATAGTACAAGGATCCAACGGATACTCGAACATGAATCTAACACGTGCTAGTGCTCGTGCCAAGCCAATCGATGTCAATAGCGACACATGTGGATTAAGAACAGAACCCAATATAATATAATTCTTCTCTTTTAAAAATTACTAGTACCCTAGGGATCAAACCCAATTTTCAAGCTTTCACCATATAAATCACATCAAAATTTCCTAATTTTTCTATATGGGATAGGTGTACAATATTTTTTAATAAATCAAATTATTCACTAGTTTATTATTCCAAGTAGGTTAATTTGATATTAAATATTTCATTCAATTTTAAATGACTTTCGATAAATAAATATATCGCATTAATCAAATCGCAGAGTAAAACATGAATATATTTGGTCTGGTTAAAATCGAAATGTCACACTAAAATTAAAGCTCAAAGTTGACCCAATTCAATTACCAAACCATTTCTAACACGTATTTCTTCATGTAATTTTCTTTGAATGTACAATCAATGGCGGATCTAAGTGGTGGCGAGCTAGAGTGGTCGCCCTAGCTGGATTCGTCGGAACCGCCTGGAGCCATTTTTTTTTTTGACAATAAATTAAAGTTTTAAGTTATATTATTGATATTCAAGTTATTTTCAAGAGTTTCATGTGGCTCACTTGGTCAGACGTTGAATGTATATAGTGGGGGTCCCGGGTTCAAATTTTTTTACCAACAAACTATTGTGCAATAATATTTAAATACAACATTTTTTGCCAAAATTCAAGAGAGTGGGGACCAAACCAAAATTCGAACTTGTGACTTCATGTTGAACATAGTATGAACTATACCGCTATGGCACCCACTGATTATTGACAATAAGTTTAACAAAATAATATTTGTTAGGTTCTATATGTTGTAATGCGAGATTCAAATCCGTGCTCTTCATTTAAAATATACAAAGTTTGACAACAATATCATTAGATGAATCCATTTATTCTTATAACATAATTACATATGTTCAATTTGAAAAAAAAAATTGTTAAAATTTAAACTTTAGACCTTATTTGATTCCAATTTTTTTTTTTTCAAAGACATTTTTTTATCTCTTCTTATCAACCAAATATTCTTCAATAAAATAATATTACACGCAGATTCAATTTTTTTTAACCACACATTCTCCATCAAATTACTATTACAAATTCCTTTTTTTTTTGTGGCAAAAAAAGGGTATCAAATAAACTCTTAATACTTTATTGCAACTGACGTCAACCATCTGTGCTGACTCAAACTCTTAGATTGGCCCTTGTGTACAATCAGTGGAGGACCAAACAAGGAGGGATGGCAATTGGCCTCGCAAATTTTGTATTTTAATGTTGTGAAAATTCTGGCTCAATCACTGGCTTCGTGAATGAAACTGAAAGTCGCGAGACATAACAATAGAAACACTGATAAAACAAAAAGATTGATACTTTACTTTTGAGATAATATTTAGCTTTAGTACTAACTGCTATTTTCATCGATTACTAAAAGATGGAGTTGTGCAGCAATTTAATACTTGTCTGGTCCTTTCTTTCAATGCTTTTAAACTTCGATATTCAACAACATTGAATGAATCACTAACCAAGAAACAATTATGTGAACGATTTACAGAAAATTAAAAGAAAAAAAATAATTAAGCCAGCTTCTCAGTTGGTAACTAAATGTAGCTGAAATTTGAAATAATTGTGAGGATAGCTGGCTTACTCCGCAGAAGGTGAGGTTAACAAGTTCAAAAGGAAGCCAGCCATAATTCCAATGAGTCCCACAATGAGTGCAAATATAAAGGAGAAACCTGAATCAATTTTACGATTTCTACGTCTCTTGAGAACTTCCTGCAAGTGAAAGCATCAGAATATGAGTATGAAATGACCATCTGTGTTAAAAGCGCATGTTTGAAACAACCAATGAAGGTGGGAAGAGAAATCGAAAAAGCTTGTTTCTAACATGAAGTCCATTTATCTCGAAATGAATATGATTAGCCCTGACCTACCAAAAGGTCGCCAAAAATGGATATTCAATTGACAATGTTAAAATTTTGAGTTTTAAATCAACTTTTCATTGTTACCCTTTTATCTCTCAGTGTTTGACATACCGCCTGTATATTCCCACTAGGATGTACAAGAGCAATATAGGAAATACGCAATCCAACAAGTTCTATTACACTGTTCTTGTGCGTGCTAAGTTCACTATATATTTATACATCACAGGAACAAGAGAAAAGCAAGTGCATTCACCAGTTCTAGTTGTAGCTGTTGTGTTTGACGGACAGCTGCATCTCTTTCTTCCTTGAGACTCTGCAAAGTTTGATTCTGCAACATGAGAGAAAAATATTGCTCATCTAAATAGTAATAAAGGGGAACAGAAGTTCAAATTTCCACATTGCTTGAATACAAATATTTTAATTTAATAAGCATTATATATTAACAGTGTATCATAGTTCCAGGGTGAGCAAACAAAACTTTTGGTTTGGACACGAAGGTTACTTGTGAAGGATAGTTTGGAAAATAAAACATAGAACGGATAAAGGTGGTAAACGAATTTTGAGAACAGAGGGCCCACTCTCTTCAAGAATTTTGAGACAAATATGCAGGCCACAATTTAATCCTACAATGAGCCCACTTCTAACCACCAAGTTCCATTCCCCTCGCTAGTCTAATTACTAGATTCCAGAGACGGGGCCCCATTTATGTGCTTGTGAGGCCTAAAAACTGGCATCCAATGCGTTATATCATTGTTTCGAGAGAAAAACAAATTGCTTCTATCTCTGATGTGAATTCCTCAAGTAACCATCTCCTATGTCCAACTCCAGCGGCAAGGAAAAAGAAGAGGTTGATGTGAGAGTTCAGGAACACTACAATCCTAACTAGAGTAATGAAAAGACTAATTCGACCTCAGAATCTGTGGTTCAAAAGTGGATAAAAATTTGTATGAGCAAGGTCAAGAGTGGAATAAAGGTAAGCAGAACAAAGAGACTAAAAAATGTGCAGGAGATTAAGGGGCTGTTCCAAGGTAAGAACCACCGTAGAAAAGGGAATTTATCTTTTTCAAGGTAAAAAGTGGCAAGCAGTTATTAACTTATAGGAACTTTCTGTGGCTGTGTAAGGCAGGGATCAAGGCTTTGGAAGAAGGCATTTAAGGACTATGGTTCAAGTTTTCGTTGAAGCAAGTTTGCAATAAATAATAAAAAATGCATGATAAATGAAATTTTATTGAATTCAATGGCGAAAAATAATCTATTGGTTGCTGAAGCCTAATCCTAGTAGGAAAGGGGCTTATAGTTAAGGAAAGTCAACATTCTAAGCTAAGGCTCTACCACAAATAGTCCCCCAGTAAATTTAATACTGTAAAATTAATTAAACTAATTTGAGATCCATGGAGTGTGCATATTGACCCATATTCAGTAAACATTTACAGGATAAATATCATTGATGCTAAAATATAGTATATCCTAAATGCTTAAGTCCCAGCTTAATATGAATTATTTTGTTTCGTCTCAGGCTAAAATGTGCTTCAAACCCAACTATTTGCAAAATTTCAAAGAGCCTTCTGAGTGCATGAAGTGATGAGGCATCAGTTGAGTGTCTAACATGTCTTATAGTAGCATATCTGACAAAACATTAATGTTCCATTTCACCAAGATATTAATGTCAGAATAAAGAAAACTGCACAATTTTGAAAACAAGAAGTTATTAAGCCAACTACCAAAAGGGTATCAGACCATAAATGTAAACCAAGAAACAAACATAACAAAAAACTAAGGCACGAGGTAATTATGGTTTATTAATCTCAGGATCATTAGTCCTGTATCCCATTTTTGTCCCTTGGATACCCTTCTAGACACATTTAATTTATTAATTTCAATTTGTAGTGACGGGTAGAAGCAGAGGTGTGCACATATATTGCCTGCGCTAGCATAATACCACATGCTTAGCACCTGAGACAACCATAAAAATATAAATTTCCTACTCCAAATTTCCAAATTTCTTCGTTTGGCAAAAAATGAAACCCAAGCAAGCAAATGAACTGAGTGAAAAGATGATGGATTGAAATGGAAGTGACCTCATATCCAAGGGATAAAAAATTAAAAATAGCCCAAAAAATTATGGGAAAGCATATACGCAACACAGATATAAAGACACCAGAAGATTTACATGACATATGTTATATAAACACATAGACATAATACCTGCACACAGACATAAATACACCCATTGGTATATACATGTATATGTGAGGATAAGGCATTGATCATGGGGTCTGACATCTGATAACTCAATAGAAAGTGTGAGATGAAGGAATTGATACAATCTAACTTGAAGCCTTAGTTTCTCACTGATCTCAGAAGAACAGAAAAGCCAAAGGCTAGTTTTGTTTATAAGCACTGTTGAAGTAATTTCATATTAGACTTGTTATTTTAACCCTTAAGCCTTAATTTTCTCAATGAAAAATCCGCAAAACAGCAAGACATTATGTAACTAGGACAAAATAACTGTTAAATCTTAAGATATCTTGAAACAAAGCAATATAGATAATATCTGAAGTCAATGAAAATAAAAAAGTTGTGCTATGAAATGTACCATTGTTGATCTGCTCTAATTGAGGAGTAATATATAACTCTTTGTTATGACATAATTGTAGTTGGGAAGATATTTAAGTGTCATATGCCCCTAGGTAGATATTAGAACTGTTTTATAGAAGTTATTATGTATCCTACCTATGCTTGTTTCCCTAATAGTTCTTCAGACATTTTTCCAGCTATTTTCTGTATTATTTATTTAAAAGATATTTTTCTCTTAAATGGCTGCCATGTAAAATGTGGCATGCCTCATCTTATGCCTTCACCTTTAAACACTGCTGTTGGCCTTAAGAAACTCCACCTAAAGGAAAGAATTATGAGAAGACTTGGACAGCTTAAAGGAAATATAAAATGCAAATACATAACCGTTGAAATTGTATTTCAGCTGCCTGAGGCTGTGAAATGCAAGTTACAATGATTGTGTTAAATCATAAATGAAATGTGATGTTTATAAGGCATTGCAAGCACCGACTTCCAATAGTAGGTGTTTTCCTTGTAGAAAGAATAGAGAGAGTGGTATCATCAGTGCCATGTGAATAGCAATATATTCGGATGTATGTTTGATTAACTGATAAATAAACCGGCACATTTGAACCTCTTTCATGTGGTTTATTTCTTGGCCCCTAAACTATCTGGACCTGGGAGTTCTGTGAGCCTTGAACCACTCCTCTTTTTTAGCTCTTACATACACCACTCTCTTCAAAATTCAATTAGGCTATATAGATAACCAGTTTCATCAACTATTTGAGTGACTTCTATAATTAAAATCGCTCAAGAGAAGTCAAGCAATGAAAGCAATCACACTAATGATCTGCCGAATAAAAAGTGCTAAACTAATATTTATACCATCGAAGATCACAGATCAATGTCTCTCAATCATTTCAAAGTATATTCTACTAAATTTTGCTGTACAACCATCAGAGGAATGTTGGATTGAACAGTGTGAGCTTGAAACATATAATTTGCAATCACTTGATTAAGAAAAATATAGAAAAAAGTTGGATTTTAATAAAATTTTGATGGAGTACACAATGAAAACACGAATTTGAACAAAATTCACTTGGCTTACATCAAAGTTTTGTTCAGATCCATCTTGTACGTTTCCGGAAGCTGAATGAGGGAACATGTATATGACCTTAAGCTTGCACTCCTCTATTGTTCTTTCGCCTTCCTTACTAAACTGAATGCCCCATCGTCATTCGCCAGAAGAAAAAGTAATTCACATCCTATGTATGAAATGAAACTAACGGTATAAGAGGCGTATACTAAAAATCTTACAGTATCAGTTGAGAGCTCATTGACATCAGTATGTGGAGCAACTGTTGTGCTTTGAAGGAGAAATTTATCTTTTGATTGCTTATCTGGGGGGTATTCCCGTTGAGCTTGAAGGGTGACTGTATAGGCATCAGAAGGTAAAATAATAAAAAGAATAAAGGTTGGAACAATGGGTCAAATATGCACCACACACAAGCAATTGAAACATGAACAGGGATATCAATTCAGTAGACTGTACAGTCCTTACAACAGCTAGCAGTATCACAACCATGCATAGCCCACATAACACCGAAATTAGTTGCTCTCTTCAGGACTCAGGAGTCTAACATTTGGGCTATAGTACTAGAAAGATTGAAATCAAAATCCCCATAAACTTCATTTGAACTTGAATTTAGATGTGTTACAGCTGGGTATAAAAATGTGCTTATTTTGCAAACTATATTAAGGTCAGGGAAAACCCGAAAGCTAGTAACTGTTGTTCCAAGGAAAGATAAGACACATACTGAAGATTTTAATCTATGATATTGGAAATTTTTTATGGTCCCATTCATCATCAATTAAGTGCAAAATTTTAGAGAGAGGTTACCATATTGCAGGCATCTTCAGAATTGACAGGTGCATAAAAATAAATCCCACAGCTCTGCTGTTGGAATCTATTTTGTTTAATTGTAAAGGTCCAACATACATCAAGCATGTAATAGAATCTAAGTGATTGAAACAAGAAAAAATAGTCTTCAAGGGAATAAAGAGGCGAGGTAGTTGGCTACATGTGATCTAGAATACACAAATATGTTTCTTACACTCACTTCCAAATAAAATTGAATTTTTGACTCTTGGGTATCTTGTATAAAGTTGATTACATGTGTAACATACTGCTTTGCTGGTATTTCAGTGTCAAACGCCTCCCTATATCTGTGCCATACAACAGACCACCGCCGTGTTACTTATGTTTACAAATAATGCTACAGTATCAAAAAGCTATTCCACATATGAGACACAGATTTCATACACCTAATACAAATTAGAAATATTATAGCGAACCACCTCTTATGATGCATGAGTCCCAAGGAAGTACCACGCCAGTGTTCGGACGCACAAAGTACTTCTTTGGAGAAGTAGTTTTCACCTAAAATAAATAAATGCACAAATTTACATTCAAAGAAGTAAGAAAATGACATACAGAATATCAAGTTGAAAGGAACCAATTCTCTGATTATGGAGTACCTTGAAAGCAACAAGGTTTTCAGTTCTGTTTGTAACTTTAAGATCACAGTAACTTTGTTTCTCCAGCTCAACTAATCAAAGAAATATTCACAACAATGCAGTAAGTAATCATGATCTTCCACCATATATTAATCAATTATGATGCAATACTAGAGATGCTTTTTTATCCCGTTCCTTTAGATCTTTCCATAGACTGTACAACAATCTAACTAGGAGACTACAGGTAACGAACCTCTTTGGTTAACGCCCAAAATGGGATAGATCCAGCAAAAATCTCATTCGTTAGATATGGTAGATTAACAACAATCATAATGAAGCAACCAGATGATAGAGGAGAAAAATACAGGAGAGATGATTTTGTAATTAGTGCGACCAATATCACAAATGTTCCTTTGAGCATATAGATTGTTTGCCTAAGTCCTGAAGTAATGCCAAACTTTGTAATGTAGATCTACGGCACTCGCCACTTCACCTTGTCACGAACAAGGCGAGCCGTGGACACAAACCGAACAACAAAAAGCTTGTGCAAGCCACTCATCGGCTCGCCGTCCGACTGCCATCGGGAGAGAAAATGTAATTTTTAGTTTAAAAAAGGCTCGACTCGCCCGGGTTTTCAGAAACAAGCCAGCTCATGATTGGCCCATTCAACATCCCTATGTAAATCTCTCAATTATCTGAGGAAGTTTGTTCCAACTATTTTGACAGCATAAATAGATACATTTTTTCATTCACTTTATCTGTAGCCATTACGTCATTTAGGTCACAGATGCTTAGCAAAAACATTTTTCTACGTTCCCTGAGGATTCCCTCTTCATAGATTGAGGTGAGGTTGGCTTCCTAAAGATGCCAATGCTATAGTCCTTGAGCTTCACATGGAAAATATCATCAAACCTAAAGTATCCTCTTCTATGTCCCCATATTACCCCCAGAGACCTAATCCTCTCAATGTGTATACTACCATGCCGTTCAACTCATGAATGCATCTTTCAAGCTGTCCAATATATTGTCTCGCTAAGTAAATGTCATTTGATATCCAACGTGGTTTAGCTTTATCTATATTTCAAATTTTAAACAAGGAATAAGGATGAACTGAGAGGTGATTGGTTGATTTCAGAAGTTTGGAATCAGAATATGCACAACATAACGATGCCAAAACAGGAACAAGTAAAATCCTACTTTCCAAATTTAATCAAATCTTAACTTCACCAAACATTTAACTAATGTTCACATGCAAGTTTAAATTCAATCTCTCGAATTCACTTTTTCAATCCAATATAATCAACTTTCCATATAAATTCAGCCCACAAACATTGCCAGCAGTTCCATCTGTTACTTATAGTCGGTTGATCCATGTACAGAAATTATCAAACCTCAAAAATCCTTAATTTGTGAATAATTCATTAAATTCTCATTTCATTGACTACGTTAAATACTTCAGCCTAGCACAAGTAAAACAAAAATCAAAAGCATGAAAAAGAAAAGAACACAAAAACTTTAAAAAAAAAAAAAATCGAGAGAAATCACATTGAAACTTGAGGTCTTCTGGTTGTACAGAGATCAACTGGTTAGCAACAACAGTCATGATAGCAACGGCCACAGCAGCTCACTACTCCAAAAGAGAAGCAAAAAAATTTCAATCAACGAAACAATCAATCAAATCCCACATAAGAACCTGCAACAAACAATAAAAAGTAGAAAATGCAATCCCTAGGTCACCAAAAATTAGTAGAATAACAGAAAAGTGATATGAAAGTTTGTGAAGGAATTAGAACATAAAGATAAAATAAAGGAGCAATAATAGGATCATGCAGAAACTGACAAACAATTCTTCAACTCAAATATCGCTTCGCTGGTCCGGAACTCCGAATAATTGCAAATTTCATCACCATTAGAATTTGATTTATTTCTCAATGATCAGAAAGGAGGAATAGCAATTTGAGAGAGAGAGAGAGAGAGAGAGGAGGAGGAGAACACGTGTTTAAAGAGGAGAATGCAAGACGCCCGCTTCAAAAGCAAACTCCACGCTGGTTGGGTATGTGTCCTGACACGTGTCATTTAGCTTGGATTTGCAGTTTGGTTACCCAACTTCTCTCGCGTCTAATTTTTTATTCAATAAAAAGTAGGGAAAATTGCATAAGCGATCTCTAACCCAATTTTTTTTAAGACTTTATCCTCATTTTTACTTTGCGCCAATAACAGTTTCAAACCTTTCAAAAATATGTACTTAGAGTCAAAGTTGATATAAATCATTCATTTGACCATTTGTTGACCAAAAAGTCAAAATTTGATCAAATTAAAAAGAGTAAAATGATACTTTGCATTTTTCTTACGATAAATAAATTAAAAGATTAAATTTAAAAATCAAAAAATCAAAAGGAAGTTTATAAACCTACCTGCCACCCCATCCTACTCAGCTGCTCACCCAGCCCAATGAAAACTGCATAGCTTCCCAGAGGACCTCGAAGCCACTTTCTTCTTCTTCTGGTTATATCCCAAAAACGTCGACGTCGGCAACTAAAATCCTCCTGAGCAATCATCTCAACAATTTCCAATCCCACCACATTTTCAATCGATCTAAGTGACTGCAAACCACCACCACCTTTGACCCACACCACCACCATAACTCCCCCTTAACACCCACTACCAGTGCAAGTCCCTCACACGAAAAAAAAAAAAAAAAAAAACCTCGACATTGGGAATCCAAGTGGGCATATCAATTCTAAATCCAACTTTGAAATAGTAAGAGAATGGGAAAAACAAAAGCCTAATAAACAACGAAATTCTAACAGAAAAATCTCATTCTGCTCATCATTCTGTTTGGTGTCATAATTTTTCTTTGGGTTTTTAGATTTCTTAAGTTTTTTTAGGTGGATTGAAATCCTTTTGGAGAATTTAGTGTTGGGGAATACACCGTTTATGTGCATATTATATTAATAAAAGCATATCGTTTATTTGCGTGAAATCGAAACGTAATTTCGACTTACAGAAATAGAATTTGAGAAGCAAAATAATAAAAGTTATCGAATCGGAATGCATGAATATGGATTAATCTCTTTCGATTCTTGAACGAAAGCAAGTTATTCTTTGAATCAAACCGATAAATTTTTGGTCGAGGTAAGTGTTTGACACTTGTTCTTAAGATGAATTTGCTTCGCATCGTGCTAACAGTTTTTCAGCAATCATCTCCCAAGATACAACGACCACGTCAAGCCATAGAAGCACTCCAAGTGGTTTCGACTAACGAATTCGAACAAAATTCCCTCTCTACCATAACAATGATTTTGATGTAAAAAATAATCACTTTTACAAATTGTTTTATGTAACTTAACATGAAATCAATAATATGGAATGAATTGGAATGACAAATACACATTCAAGGGGTCTTATATATAGAAGATGAAGGATTGTAGGTGAAGGGACACACTCCAAATCCAACATTTTTCATGGAAAGTTGCAACACTTCATTTCGAAAAGTTGCAACACTTCATTTCAAACCTGCATCTTTTCGAAAAGTTGTAACACTTCATTCGTCCAACTTTGGACCGCAATTTCTCATTCATTCGAAATTGATTTCGAGATTCCAAATATACCACGACGATCTACTTGACAAGTAAAATAAGTTGGTCTATTTACTTTTTTAATTTGACTATCGGATCAAGTCCGAAATTCAATCGAAGTTGACACGAAGTCACACCTTTTCATTTTCCTAGTTTTAAACTTAACCAATTTTCGATTAATTTTTGAACCAATTCCAACAATCCCCCACATGAATGGAAATTCGAGTATGCAAATGTAATGCTAT